TATTCCATACTGGAATAGTTTCCTAGCTATAGACACCCATGTTCCCATGTACTTCCCCTTGAAAGCACTTGTCCCAGATTGTAATATTTCTGTGGGATTATTTGGATGATGTCATGGAGGCATGAAGGCTGGATCTGCATCTGTTTTGCTCACCACTATATTGCTGGTACCTGGCACAGTGGCTTCTACCTAGTGAGTGCCCAAAGAAAGGATGAATGTGATCATGAAGAAGAGTATAAACATTACAACCAAAAGGGCAACCTCAAATTTTTTTAGTTCAATTCTCTTCATGTACAAAAAAGAAGCTGGAGAACCCGAGAGGGGAGGTGACTTACCCAAAGTCATACAGCAAGTTAGTAGTAGAACTGGCCTGGGACCATGGTTTATACCTCCTGTCTCAATGCTATACTGCAGAAACTTCCTCTCTTTGCTTCAAAACTTTGATGTTCTTTTTTTTTTTTTTTTAAAGATTTTATTTATTTATTTGTCAGAGAGAGACAGAGGCAGGGAGAGGGAGAAGCAGGCTCCTTGCTGAACAAGGAGCCCAATGCAGGACTGGATCCCAGGACCCTGGGATCATGACCTGAGCCGAAGGCAGACACTTAACCAACTGAGCCACCCAGTCGTCCCGAAACTTTGATGTTCTTTGAGACCCAGACCTATAACTGGGATATGATGTATTAAGTAGATGGAGAAACTATCTGCATTAAACATTACAGATTTTCAGGAAAATTCTTTATTTCATTAAAGCTCATAAGGCCTAAGGATTTAGTTGAAGCTCTTTTTCTACAATTGATTTTTAAATGAACTCTAAGGTCTCAACTGAGTACCAGTTAGTTCCCAGGCACAGAGAAGCAGGCCATGGCCCTCGCCTGTGAAGCAAATCCTCAGCCCTCCTTCTTTTTAAATTAGTTCATTAATTTAGCAGTAGATGGAGAGCACCTTTCTAACATCTCTCCTCCCCAAGGAAGGCTTTGTGATGAAGCAGGAGGCAGTGAGATGTCCCCCAAGCACTGCTGTCTTCCTGGCTAACAAGGGCATTTCCTGAAATCTGACAGGGGAGTGAACATTTGTTCTGCCTCTGGAAGGATATTTATGCACCTTCAGACGTGTGACCAGGACACAGCTCAAAAATGTCAGATGTTTCCTCTTCATGAATATGAAGCAGCAGTTTCACCACCTTGTATTACACCCCAGAACCATGTACCTGTGTACACTTTCAAATGGTGGGCACTGGAGCAAAAGTAAACTGTTCTTTTTTTTTTTTTTTTCTTTAAAGATTTTATTTATTTGACAGAGAGAAAGACAGCCAGAGAGGGAACACAAGCAGGGGGAGTGGGAGAGGGAGAAGCAGGCTTCCCGCCGAGCAGGGAGCCCGATGCGGGGCTCGATCCCAGGACCCTGGGATCATGACCTGAGCCGAAGGCAGACGCTTAACGACTGAGCCACCCAGGTGCCCCAAAAGTAAACTGTTCTTAATGGATGGCTTGGTCCCAGGACCTTAGGCAGCACCAGCAAAACAACCAGGGGTTCTTCACCAGACAGAAGAGGTTCTCCACCAGGCAGTCGAGACCCTTAGGGAAGGAAGGAGCCAGGGTGAAATTACCTTGTAATCAGCCAGTTTGAGTTACCAAGAACAAGTCCCCACCCCTCTCTGGAGTCTTGGTTTTCAGTCTATAAGATGGACCGACTATAATGCCTACCTTCTTTGTTCATTTGCTTTTAAAGTGCCAGGCTCTATACCAGAGGTAGATGACATTGTGGGGAACAAGAAGGGCACAGCCCTAATGGAGTTCACATTTCAGGAAGGGAGACATTAAATACATATTTACCCAATACTTGTTCAATTTCAAGTGTGGTGAGCATCACTGAGAGGATAAAATGAAATATAAATGGTGGTTAACGTGTGTCAGACCTCATGCCATGTTTGCACATAACAGTAACAGCCACGCTGGGGATCTGGTCCAAGATGGCAACGTGGGAAGACCCTGAGCTCACCTCCTCCACAGGGACAAACCATATCCACACCTATTTATGGAGCAATTCCTCCTGAAGTAGAACTGAGGGCTGACTGAATAGCTTCTGTATGACAAAAGCTGAAGAGACCACACAGAGAACAGTTAAGAGACAGGGACAGGGTAACGAAAGGGATTCGCGCCCCTAAAGCTGCCAACTGCAGAAGGGAGGGACCGGATTGAGGGAGCCGCAGTTTAGAAGAGCAAGGAGAATAGAAAGGAGCTGGTCCTTGAACGCCGCCGGCTGGCCGGCGAGCCGCCAGAACTCTGGGTCAGAGAGGCTGGCGAGCCGCCGGGTTTACACCCGCTCCAAGTGACAGGAGCGGGGTTCTGGACGCCAGAGCCCGCCAGCTGCCTCAGCAAGCCCGGCCCCCCCAAGGCGGCCCCAGTCCCCTACACACCCGGACACCTCTGGTTGGCGCTCACTACAGCTCTAGCTGCCGCGACACAGGGACAGAGCAGCCCAGAACACCCTATGCCCACACCACTTGGGCTTCAGGCGCTTGCTAGGGCACTGCTCCGGGACCTCGTGGCCCATGCCCTCTTCGGCCCCCAGCCCATCCCCAACCCCCACGAGGGCACCCCCTGTGCAGAATGCCCCAGGAACTCCAGTCCATGCCCGCCTTGGTTCCCTGCATGGAGTGCCTCAGCCAGGACCTCACCTCAGCTCTAGTCACCCCACTAGGGCACCCCCTGCAGTGAGCACTCCGAGACACCCTGGCTTGTTTATTTTTTTTTAAATTATTTTCATTGTTATTTTAATCACCATACATTATGTCATTAGTTTTTGATGTAGTGTTCCGTGATTCATTGTTTGTGCATAACACCCCGTGCTCCATGCAGAACGTGCCCTCCTCAATACCCACCACCAGGCTAACCCATCCTCCCACCCCCCTCCCCTCTAGAACCCTCAGTTTGCTTTTCAGAGTCCATCATCTCTCATGGTTCATCTACCCCTCCGATTTCCCCTGCTTCATTCTTCCCCTCCCGCTACCTTCTTCTTCTTCTTTTTTTTTTTTCTTAACATATATTGCATTATTTGTTTCAGAGGTACAGATCTGAGATTCAACAGTCTTGCACAATTCACAGCACTTACCAGAGCACGTACCCTCCCCAGTGTCTATCACCCAGCCACCCCATCCCTCCCACCCCCCACCACTCCAGCAACCCTCAGTTTGTTTCCTGAGATTAAGAATTCCTCATATCAGTGAGGTCATATGATACATGTCTTTCTCTAATTGACTTATTTCACTCGGCATAACACCCTCCAGTTCCATCCACGTCGTTGCAAATGGCAAGATCTCATTCCTTTTGATGGCTGCATAATATTCCATTGCATATATATACCACTTCTTCTTTATCCATTCATCTGTCGATGGACATCTTGGCTCTTTCCACAGTTTGGCTATTGTGGACGTTGCTGATATAAACATCGGGGTGCACATACCCCTTCGGATCCCTACATTTGTACCTTTGGGATAAATACCCAGTAGTGCAATTGCTGGATCATATGGTAGCTCTATTTTCAACTTTTTGAGGAACCTTCATACTGTTTTCCAGAGTGGTTGCACCAGCTTGCATTCCCATCAACAGTGTAGGAGGGTTCCCCTTTCTTCACATCCCCGCCAACATCTGTCATTTCCTGACTTGTTAATTTTAGCCATTCTGACTGGTGTGAGGTGAGACACCCTGGCTTGTAAGAGTTGGTGAAGTCATGGAGAAAAAGGAATGCTCATGCACTGTTGGTGAGAACGTAGATTGATGCAACCACTTTGGAAAACAGTGTGGTGGTTCCTCAGAAAATTAAAAAGAGAAATACAATATGATCCAGTGGGTATTTACCCAAAGAAAACAAAAACACTAATCTGAAAAGATATATGCACCCCTATGTTCAGTGCAGTATTTGCAGTAGCCAAGGTATAGAAACAACCTAAGTGTCCATCAGTAGATGAATGGATAACGAAGATGTGGTATGTGTGTGTACATGTACCCCCTTGAGAATATTACATAGACGTAAAAAAGAATGAGATCTTGCCATTTGCTACAACATAGATAGACCTAGAGTATTATTCTAAGTGAAATAAATCTGGTAGAAAAAGACAAATGCTATATGATTTCACTTATATGTGGAGTCTAAAAAATAAAACAAATGATTAAATAAATAAAAAGCAGAAATGGACCCATAAATAAAGAGAACAAACTGACGGTTGCCAGAGGAGAGGGGTGGGAGATGGGCAAAATGGGTGAAGGGGAATGGGAGATACAGGCTTCCAGTTATGGAATGAGGAAGTCCTGGGATAAAAGGCAGAGCATAAGGAATATAGTCAATGGTATTATAATAGAATTGTATGCTGACAGATGGTAGCTACACTGTGGTCAGTGTGACATAACATATAAACTTGTTGAATCACTATGTTATATGCCTGAAACTAATGTAACATTGTACGTTGACTATACTTCAATGTAAAAAGTCAAAAAAATAATGATAACCATAATAACAACCCATACGGCATTACTATGGGCCACTTTTTAAAGTGGTTATCATATTTGAATCTATTTAATCCTCATTTTAAAATACCTATGTTGTAGAGACTACTGTCATCCCATTTTATAGATGACAAAACTGAGGTACAAAGAGGTTAACTTGATGAGAGAAACAACAGCCAATAAGTGGTAGAGAAAGAACCCAAGCTGTTCGAGCACAGAGTCTATGTAGTATATGCTGCCTCTCATGATATTACTGTCCCAATGTAATCCTTTTAACAACCTGGTAAGTATTATTGTTATTTTCATTTTCCAGATGTGGACACAAAAGCAAAACATGTAAGTGACTTCTCTGAGTTCACACACCTAGGAGATAGTGGGGCAGGATGCTGGTCTCTCCCATGATGCCCATAATGGCGGTCAGCCCAGCCCTCAGCCCTAGGAAACTGGTATTTCCAGGGCTGAGTCCCTAATATCTTTCCTGTCCCTATTCTTGCTCAGGTGTTCCTGAAGAGTGACCGTGTGGCCCGTATGGTGCAGAGTGGGGGCTGCTCTGCCAATGACTCCAGGGAGGTCTTCAAGAAGCACATCGAGAAGAGGGTGCGCAGCCTGCCTGAGATTGATGGGCTCAGCAAGGAGACTGTGCTGAGCTCCTGGATGGCCAAGTTTGATGCCATCTACCGTGGGGAAGAGGACCCCAGGAAGCAGCAGGCCCGGATGACAGCCAGTGCAGCCTCCGAGCTGATTCTGAGCAAGGAGCAGCTCTATGAGATGTTCCAGAACATTCTGGGGATCAAGAAGTTCGAACATCAGCTCTTATACAATGCATGCCAGGTAAGGTTTCTCTCACCTGGGCCCCGAGCTGTGACTAAGTAGGGTGACATTATTACTTCTGTGTGCCCGAGGCACTGTTGTCTTCATGGGCCACTTCTTGATTAAAAAAAATAATTAAAATTATATTTTATAATTGCATTGGTAAAAATTTAATATAACCCAGGCCAGAATATGTTCGTGTTTATCTTCTGGTTTTAAAAGAAATGAAAACATTTTTGTACACCCTTAGAAGTCTTGTGGGCCCTAGGCACTGTGTATATCCTGTCTAATAGGTAAGTTGGTTTTATGAATATGGCCTGACTCCCATGTGTTGAAAAAGCTAAAATATCAAAACAATTTTTTAGAAAGATGGTTTTGCCTTTAAAATATATGATGTTTACAAGTTGAGTGGCTTGTACTTCCTCAGCTAGGGCGACAAATGGACTTAGTACCTCATCATCCAGAGTAATTATTTAAAATAGAAAGCTTCCAGAAGGTCTGAGTATATCATACCAGTATATTACTCATATCATGAATTTCCAAGTGGATTTGAGGGGGCTAGCTGAGACTCAGCTTGGGCCCACTCAAAGTGGGCCTATATTTTCTCTGGATCAGGGATTGTAGGAGTGAGGTGCTCTAGATCTTCATTTCCTACCTAACCTTTCCACCAACCTACTTTGCGGTCTTTGCAAATTTTCCTGAGTGTCACTTGGGAGCATTTTTAAAATTCACATTCCCAGGCCCCAAACCTAGAGCTTCTGATTCTGCATTTTCAGGACAGGGCTCAGGAATCTGCATTTTAGGCAAGAGCTCCCTTCCTGGTAGTTTTACTGCCCTTTGTTTAAGAACCATTAATGAAACTCAGCTGTGCTCTGATTTCCCTGGGCTAACTCGGCCCCTAAGGTAGGTTAAATTAAGACACTACAGTATATTGGCCGAGATGTGCCTTGCTCGGAATCAGACAGACCGAGGTAAATCTTAATATGACCCTCACTAGCTTTGTGGCCTTGGGGAGTTAGTTAACCTCCTCACACATGAGCTTGGGATGAAATTGTTACAAGGATTCAATGTGTACGAAGCCCAGAGCAACATGGGGCACTTTATAAATGGTAGCAGTTATAATAGTCCACCAGAAGAGGCAAAAAGTCCACAGACAGTGCCATAAATGGTTAACATAAGAACTATAAGATTTTGAGGCTTACTTCTTTCTGCCTTCATGGCTACCCTCTAGTTGAAGGCAGCAACACCTCTTACCTGAATGACCACAGTGTCTACCCAACTGGTGACCCTGCCTCCTCTCTTGCCCCACAGTAACATGCCCACCACACACCAACTAGTGCAAGCTTTTTAAAATATAAATTGGATCAGGTCACCCTCCTGTTTAAGACATTCCAGTAGCACCCCAACATCTTTAGAGTGACATCCCAACTCTTCACTAAGGCTTGAGGCAGTGCATGAACTACTCTTGCTCATAACTGTTTTCCCTGCATGCTCACTCACTGGACTTCTTTCTGTTTCCCCAAAACACCAAATTGGTTCTGGGCCTTTGCATTTGCTCCTCCCTCAGTTTAGAATGCTTTTTGCCAAGACCTTTGCATTAATGCCACAGCTTAAATGTCAACTTTTCTAAGACGTCTTCCAAGACCACCCCATCGAAAGTTTTTCTTGCTTTACATCTCACAGAGTCACTATCCCATCCCTTGTTCTATTTTTATCATAGTTTTTACCACTGTTTTCCATTCCTTCTTCATCTATTTTTACCTGTTTATTACCTGTCTCGCGCTCCACTCCTATCCTTCACCAGAATGTTAGCCTTGTGAAGGTGGTGACTCACCTTTTGCCTTATTTGCTAATATTTCCATAAAACAATGGCATGAAAAATTCTTGGCACATACCGGGTGCTCAGGAATTGCCTATTGAATTAATAAATGGATGATGGCAGTTTATTTATTTATTTTTTTTTTTAAAGGTTTTATTTATTTGACAGAGAGAGACACAGCAAGAGCAGGAGCACAAGAGGGGGAGTGGGAGAGGGACAAGCAGGCTTCCCGCTGAGCAGGGAGCCCGATGTGGGACTCGATCCCAGGACCCCGGGACCATGACCTGAGCCGAAGGCAGACGCTTAACGACTGAGCCACCCAGGCGCCCCGATGGCAGTTTATTTTAATTGGTAGATGGGGTCTTGGTATCAACCATGATAGCTCACCTAGAACTTTCTGGATGTTTTAGTAAGTAGGAATCTGTTTATCATTTCATAATGTAATATAGATATTGCATTCAAAAATATTTCTCACATCCTATTTTCTTCTCAGCCAATTTCAATTCAGAACACTGATTGCCAACCAAAAGGTAGATGTTTTCTTTGATGGGTCAAGAAATATTTTGAAATGACCAGATAAATCTCAATATGAAATTAAATTTAATTTTTCTTTTTATTTAAAATACTACTACATCCCACACGGTGCTTTTAGAATGGGGTGAGCAAGTAGTATTCCCAACCTCAAGAATATGGGTTGTCAAATCACCTGCTTGGGTTATAAATAACTTTCAAAATCACAGAGCTAGTTAAGTGTTCCTAAACCTGTTAGTCACAGAATGATTCCAGAGATTAATTTTTCTTCTTCTTAAAAACAGCAGCATTATTGGAATGAATGCATTGTTATGCCATTTCTCATATCAGTGTTTTTGAACTTGTTAAATAGGGTTAAGTGGCAGGATTATGTTTTCCCCTGAAAAGAAATTATTTAGATTCATAATCTCAACATGTTTTCCACAAGTTAGAAAAAACATACAGTACTCTTATTGACCTAAATATAGGGGTAAACTGAGGCAAGCTCAAACTTGTCAAAAAGATGAGCTTATTCGGGAATAGGAGAGGAATTGCAGTTCCAGACATGCAAACTATAGCAAGCTACAGGTGAGTCTGTTGAAGGTTTGGTGTAGGCTCTATTTACATTAGTCTCTCAGTCCTTAAGTTTTGTTTTCCTAAGGACACATGCATGAAATTTTCCGTTTTATGTGCTCTGGTTCCATTTTAGATTGAAATTCATCACATTTCCTCCTTTTGATCAAGATCTTTTTCAGAAAACACTTCGGATCAATTATGTCATTCAGATGTTGTCTGCTAATTTTTTTAAAAGTGTACTTGGATTGCAGGTAGATTGTATTCTATGTCCCATGGAGCTTAGAGGGTAGTCCTCAGGTGTCTTTTCCCATTAAGCTGAGGAAGACTATCCTCAGGTGTCTTGTCCCATGGAGGAGGGAAATGATAAAGAGTTTCACTTGCCTCATTTGAACAACAAGAGGATTGAAAAATGAGGAATCTCAGCCATGTCCCTCTGAAGTACACAGTTTAGTTTCTACTGTCAGTTGAATTCCAGGAAAAGCCTTTGAAAGGAGAAGAATTTTATTTTGTACATACGTTTGGGAATAAGGCATTTGTTTACTAATACCAAACAGTAGAAATTTAATTAAAAAGATTAAACTGAGGATCAAAAGCCCAATGATAGCTATTGATTAAAATGCACTTTTCAGCCAGCTTCCTCACTTGCCTATATTTAGTAGATCAAAAATGCCCCAAGTTCTAGGAGCTTGGCCAGCTTCTGCTAGCAAATTGATATTGTCCTTCATTATTTTTAGTTCTTGTGTTATTTTCCCTGACTTACTGACATAAAAACGAAGTTCTTCAAGTAGGGCACAGGTTCCTCTGCTGAGCAGTGAGAAGGTTAAGGGCTCTGCAGTTTTTGTAGGACTACTTCAGCAAGGCTGTCTATTTGAGTTTGTTGATATTCAAAAGCTCAGATAGAAGCATTGAAAGTGGTAGACATAACTGTAGAAAGATTGTGAATTGCTTTTTCAAGGTCTGCTACTCCAACCCAAGCTAAAAAGGCTCTGCTGAAAGCCTGCCCCAAACCCTTTCTATCTAATGTAGGGTTATATGTAGGCATCCATCCAAAGTCATAACCTTTCCAGTTCTGGCACACCCTTTTAAGTTGATAAAGGACCCCAGATTAGGTATATAAGCAGTGGAGGGAAGAGTTTTTCTAATTTCACTGCCAGATGGGAGGCCAGTGATCCCAAAACATCCCTTCCAATTAAGGGGAAGTGTAGAGTTCGTGTTTCTTCCACATAAAAAGAAATACCCAATGTCTTCTAAGGCACAGTTGGGTCTCTTTGCCCAGATATTTTCCCTGGAATAAAAGAGGGGATCTCATGATCAGAAATATAATCATTATAATCATAATCTGATTTACTAGCATTGTGGGAATGATTATGTGAGTACCTTAAATTTCTGTAGATCTGAAGTTACAAGAGAGCTGATCTAGCGTAAATAAGATTTTGGTGGAGATATAGAGGATTTCTACTGCAAAAGTAATTTGAATTAAGTTTCCACCATTCCCCAGATTTTTTGTTAATTCCCAACGAAGTACCATTGAGTTGGGAGGACATTAGCTTCCAATTTTCCAGTATTATTAGTTTTCATTGCCCCATCATAAAGATACATTAATGGAGGCAATGATAAAGTCTTCTGGATTCCAGCAGGGAGTGAATTCATGTTCACCTGGATTATATAAAATGGTATAGTTACAAATATTTAGTGGGAACCATCCTATAGTTTTGCCATTCCCATCATTATGTTTTTGAAATATAACAAAGATTTTGGGTAAGAGTCCAGACATGAGTAAGGGTTATCCCATTATGAATAGGGAGTATCCAAAGGAAAGCCATAATATTTGGTGCCAGTCTTCTGAAAGGGAGGACATGTGTGATTTCCAAGCTATCAAAGGAAAATCCTATATCCTTACCAGATAGGTTTTGCCATCCTTCTAAAGAAGGTGGCCAGGCCAACAAGTCACATTCATCATGAATATTTGCTCATGCACAAATCCAACAATCAATAAATTTAGCAGAGGGGTGCCTGGGTGGCTCAGTCATTAAGTGTCTGCCTTCAGCTCAGGTCATGGTCCCAGGGTCCTGGGATTGAGCCCCACATCAGGCTCCCTGCTCGGCGGGAAGCCTCT